TGTATATTATATTTGAGAGATCTGTATGCATATTGTATAATATATTTGAGAGATGTATATGCACCGTGTATATTATATTTGATAGATCTATATGCATATTGTATAATATATTTGGGAGATGTACATGCACCGTGTATATTATATTAGAGAAATCTATATGAGTCGTGTATATTATATTTGAGAGAATATAGATCTGTATACTATAATTAAGAAATCTATATACATTGTGTATATTAAAAATTTCCAATACTTTTTGTTACATAACGACATTAATTTATTTTTATATCTTCATGTATGCTTTCAGATTTTTTTTTTTAATTATTATAAAACCATACTTAGTGCATAAAAACAAATTACTAAATGGTTTATTAAAATGATTACATAACAAAAATTAGTTAAAAAATGCAACACATATTTTGCTCTTGTTAATCCTATATAAAATTAATTGAAATACATTTAAACATTTTAGATTTAATTCAAAAAATACTTTTTAAATAACTTCATTGAAGCTTATAGATATATGCGTCTAAATGCCTATTTTCATCAATAAAAATCCAAAAGTGTTATTTATGTATAAACGTTTTAAACTTTCATTCCATATAAGCTAAATACCTAACACTAGAAAATATTTATCTTTTACTTAGCAAATATTCTCCTCTTTGCTGAGGTATCTTACGCATTGTTAACGCGCCTGCATTCGACTTTTACGGATTCAATCTCTAAGCAACTGCACATTGGAGTAGCGGAGTTGTTGATGATGAAAGAAGTCTTAATGGCTTAAAACCTACTTTAAAGCGTATTTGCCAGTTTTTTATAAAATATAAAAAGTAGCAATTCCAATCTTTCAATTTAATTAAAGTAGTATTTCAACAATTTCATAATGCCGTTTACAACTCTCGATTTTGTTTTTGAGTCACATCTATGGTTAAAAGATATTTTTACTTGCTTTTCTGTCAATCAATTTTGCAAAATCGTTTGTTTAGGTAAATATTATCGAAATTTTTTATTTAAAATTAAAACTGTAATTTTTTATATTCAATTTCGTTCTAAGTCTTGTCGAGTTCACATCGCCACAGAGCAAATAGCTCCTCAATGGTTTTGCTAAGAGTGATAAAGTATCTCATGGGTTAGTGTTCAGGTTGCATAAAATGCAATTAAATACAAAAAAAAATTGTAAACAATATTTTAAAATTAATGATGTAAAATTACATGGTAACAATTTGTTTTTTATTTTAATTTATTAAAACTTTTATTACTAATTAAATTAAATTATATTTCATGTTTTTATTTAAAAGGCTGTGTTAAAGAAATGTTCATTTTTTGTGATGATAAATTGTGGTTTATAAAGCTCTGGCATCAAGCAAAAGGACTTCAAACAACAAATGTAGTTTGATTGGTAAAAATTATAGATAAAATAACCAAATATTTAAGTAATTAAGTCAGACATAAATAATTTACTTTTATAACAAATAAGAATTAAAATAGAGAAAAAAATTTTGTTCTAGTATTTTTATTAAATATAATTAAATGAATTAAATAAAATTTACTAACAATTATTTCGCCTAAATAAATCAAACAAATCATCTATTTTCTTCCAAGGAAATTGTATAAAAAACTAAAATGTCTGAGATCAGAGATCTATTATAATTATGAAGGACGAAAATTGCGTCGCGACATTAATGTCTATTGTGCTTTCTTAATCCTATCTGTTTAATAAATAACATTTGTCAGATTCCACAAAATTTTAGTCCATCTAAGTATGGGAAAATAATATAAACATGGTATATAATTTTAGCTGATAAAGAAGGTCAGTAAATGCAAGCAGTGGTTAGATTAAACATGGTATAGACTCTGGGTCACAAAAACCACGTTTGTAGAATAAAAGAAGAGCAATCTAAAGCCTCACCAAGGTAGAAAAATAATTTTGTAAACGTGATGTTTTAACGTTTCTGTATCTTATAGAACTTATGTGAATATTATTTGGGTTATGTGTAGAATAGTGTAGAAGAAGACCCATCTGAAGCCTGATTAATATAGAGAAATAATTTTGTGATGATAATATTTTAAGATTTCTATACCAAATAGCAAATTTTCCTTCGCTAGCAATCACTGTGTTTAAGTCTCGCTGGTGACGTTCGAGTTCGCTTGCGCTGTAGCTATCTCAATGTACCAGGAGGTACTATCTCAATGTGTGTTTGAGATTTTTTGTGGATACTAATTTCAGTACTTTTTGTTGAGTAACTAGCGCTTTGCTGAGAGCACAAGTTTGTACCCATCGAGGTGTATGTGAGCCCATGAGGGTGACAGAAGGGTCCAGTCTACTAATAAGCGATTGTAAGCCTAAACATCAATTAAAAACAAATTAGTGAATAGTCCTTGGGTTATGTGTAGATCTTGAGACATGTCCTAGGAAACTTTAAGCACCTTAATATCGTTGGCAGATTTATGGTATCTTTAAATAATCCAGTATATGGTCAAATATATGTTGCTTGTTCATACGTTACATTTATATATGAAAATATTATATAAAAAAAAATATCTACAAAAAACACACAGCTTGTATTTGCCAAAAGTTTGCCGAAATATTTTATTATAAAAACGAAAATATGCCGAAATATTTTATTATAAAAAAAATATGCCGAAATATTTTTTTATAAAAAAAATATGCCGAAATGTTTTATAAAAAAAAATACGCCGAAATACTTTATCGAAATATATGTATGAGATATAGCTAAATATCGCCAATATTTAGCTAAAATGCTCCCAATTTTGTTGTTATGATTGCATCCCCATTCTAGTCACTACGAATCGTTATTCAATGTAGTTCTTTCTTTGAGCATTAGCCCGGCGCGGACGTCTCGGTTTCTTATAAAAAGTAAAACTTCCCACCAATCCCCTCCCTGTAAGTCTTATAATCTCTCCATTTTCCTCCAATTGCTTTAGACATGTTCTTATTGAATCTTTATTTTGACTAACTTGTTCCTTGTTTAGACCATATTCTTTAAAGAAAAATTGCTTAATTTTGTAAAAAGAAAGTAATTTTACACATTCTTTCCTCGCAGTTTTGACCACCGCGTTTAGCATGACCCGAATTGGTGGTAACTGATTCTTTATGATGTTATCCCTACTTAAGATTGTGTTTAATTTAGGATCAGTACGGACAACAGATTTAAGATGATTGCTTTTAACCGCTTTTGGTTTACCTTGATCAGTTTTAATATTTAGCTCACCATTCAAATTCAGTTTTCCTTTTGCTGTTTTCCGATCAACTCTTGATGTAGTTGGGTAAACCGTTCCACAAGCAGTAAGAGTATTGCTTTTATCCTGGAAATACCAGTGTTACATGAAAAAATCAATTAATTTTGTTTTTCATAGCACACCTAATATAAATAAATACTAAATAAATACTAAAATATTTGTTATAAAATATTGTGAGGGATTATATCAGCACCTCACATGACAGGTATTGGGTTATGAAAAGAGTGAATGTTGTGATCATTTGTAGTTATTTTATAAAATACAAATTTAAAAATCATTACAAATAAAAAATTGAGAAATACTGATATTGCGCAGAGTTAGCCAAAGAAAATAGCAAAAAGAAGAAGTTAAACCGATTACAATATCTTGTCTTCAATCGCTATAAGATCTAAGTGATACTGTACATATTTTATTTTCTGTTCATATTTTTATCAAACTCACATTAATCGAATGCTTAAGATTTTATTTCAAAGCTTCAATACTACAGGGGATAATTAAGAAAGAATATGGTTCGCTCTGTACTCTCAGTTATATACGCTTTGTCAACTCCTTAGTCAAATGGTAATGACAGTCTCTTTTATAAAAATGTGGAGAAGTGAAATTGTATTATGTAGTAATTATTCTTAGTTTTTGAAATACATGAAACTGAATCTCTGATATTTTTATAAAAATATTTTCGGAACTGTCAATTAGTATTAGAACGATAGATGTATCGCTTTTAATTCAAAGCTAGTTGTCCTTGATAAACGCATACACTGCTGATGACTCTTCACAAATTTACAACTATTAAACCCACTAATACTTCTATATTATTATTATAAATTATAATAGAATTAATATTATTATCCTGATTATTATTATATATTATATTATAAGTATATATAATATATTATTTAGTACATTATTATAAGGTATTATATTTTAATAAAATATATACAAAAGCAATGATAATGCAAGTATTTTTTTCACTCTAAAAACTATTTCTACTTTTTACGAGTCCTAATGCTATAGGACTCAACCTTATATTATTATATTAATAATTCTTATATATATTCATATATTTTTGTATCTAACGTCCTATATATTTATTTATTTTAACAATTTATTGAAAGAACTCTCCCAATTGATTAGAAATTTATTTAATTCAGTCTAATTTTTTTAACATCTGGGAGAACAGAGAATATTTTTGAAATTAAATTTCTAATAACAATATAACCCGAAATTATAAATATTTGAAATACTTGTCATCTATAAATTATATCTTTTTTTAAAAAATAAAATTTGATTGTGACATCTATAAAATTAATTTTTTTATTACCTTCTTAATGCGGTTGGCTTCGTCACTTATTAGTTTTTTACTTAGAACACGTTTTACATCATCTATTTTCACTTTTACATCCATATCCATTATAGCACGAGCGGCAGCCTTATAAGCACCCTCATTCTTTTTCTTTCGTGTTTTACCCGCCAATCTCTTTAACTTATTCTGAGAAGTGCCATAAATTTTTGTATTTTGCAAATTGAGGATGGCCTCTACATTGATAAAGTTCCATTGTAAATATTTTCTAAATAAAAATTTAAACTTACCTTCTGAGCAGAGATCTAACTTTCTAACTTTATTTTGAGGACTTTGGACAACGGTTTTAAGTTTTCTACGAATCGGATCTAAATTGGTATAGAATCAAAATACGAAGCATTTTTAAGATAAAAGTGAAAACTTACCCTCTACGCACCGAGTTGCCTTTCTAATATTACAACTACAATATTTTTGCACACCTCTTAATGGAGACTTTTTTTTAGAGGCTGTCTCGACCTCTGGGGCCCGCTTTTGTTTCTACAATACGAAAGAATTTGTTACATATTAAATTTATTTATTTATTTTAATTTAGTTTTTACCATTTAAAAAAAAATAAAAGTTTCTAAAGCTAAATTTTCTAGCTTAAAAAAATTGAAACTTCCTAATAGAAAATAAAATGAAAATGATTTTATTACGTGTTTAGTTTATATTGAAATTGATTAATGGATTAAATAATTTCAAAGCTTACTTTATATTGAACGGATATAGTAGACAAATTATTAAGTCTTCTTGATTCTTGATTCTTCTTCTTCTTGAGTTAGTGCTATTACGCACTTTTACTCTATAATGGCTGGGGGGCTTATCTCTACCCCACACTAAGCTTTAACTAGGCTAAAAAAAAAATCATATCATTTATTTATCTTTTAGTTGATAACGGACCTTAAATCAGCATATCTTCCTGAGAGTCCAGAAGTGCAACTGTATAAAAATAAGTAAAATGTTGTAGATATATTAATGTTCATTTCTCTTAGAATAATATTCGAACTAATAAGCAAAGTAAGAAAAATTCAATTAATCAAAGATAATCGCATCTGATCACAGAACCACTTCGCAGACTCAGAAGCTAAAATATATGTATAGTATCCCGAGAGATTCCGAAATAGTACTACATCCCGAGAGATAAAGGGGTGAAGTAAAAGATAGAGTAAAATAGTGAGATATAGTGAGAGATTCAGTAAAACAGTGAGAGCAAAATTCAGATAGTGGAAAAGATTGTAAGATAGTAACAGATAAAGAAAGTGAGAGATATACTGCTGGAAAGAAAGTGAGAGGGTTAGATAATCAAAACCTCTATTTGTAGCAAATTGAAATTAATTTTTATAATTTCGTGAAGCGGCACATATCCGTTAACAGTAGAACTAAAACTTTGACGGTAAATTAATATTTTGCATAGAAGCTATGCTTATACGCATTATTTTCTAGCAGATATGAAGCCGAAACTGACTAACTTTTAATATTATTCTAAAATGTATTTTAATAACCTCCTAGGATAAGCATCTCTATCACAAAGCTGGATATATCAATGTCAGCTTTTTAACAAGCTGAATTTCGAGATTATTACTGATTTTAAGAACTCTGATGCCATTAGCAGACACCTTTGAGGTGTCTGATGATTTTCAATGTAGGGTAGAACTTAGACAAGAACCTAAGACTAGTTTTCAACTTATAACTCAAAACAAGTTTGCTTGAATATACTCGGAGGAGTTGCAACGTTTACAAAAAATAGGTCGAACATAGAGCCTTGCGATACCCTAGCAACAGTAGAGAAGTCGTAAAAGCGAAAAGAATCAAGTCGATTGAATAGAACCATTAATTAGACAAGTCTTGAACAACTCTCAGAGTGTGAGAGTGTAGGTATACGAAGTCCAAATAGCTTGTTCAGCAGAACAGTTCAGAGTTTGAGAGTGTAGGTATACGAACTCAGCAGAACATTTCAGAGTGTGGGAGTGTAGGTATACGAAGTCAGCCGAACTTCTTTCTTTTTATAACGACTTACTGCAGCATTGAGTTTGTTGTGGAAACCAACATATAACTGTTTTTGTAGATAGTGAAGAACATACGCTGCTCATATTACACTACTAAAGCCATATTGAAATATAATAATGTTACTATGATCAGAAGAAAAAGACTAACCATCTAACTAGCTATTTAGATTTCAAATTATTAGCTGATTCAAGTTAAAAGAGCTGTTAAAACGTTCTGGTTTTGGTTTACCATTCTTAGCAGTGGTGTAGGGCTGTCCAGGCCAAATGCCATCGCGGGCCAATACAAATCACTTCACAAATTGGAGGGCTCCAGTAGCAAATACATACATTCATAGTTATTTTTGACAAAAATAAAAATAAGGTTATAATGTTAAATTTAGTTTTATTTAGTACACAAAAATAAAATTTACGTAATTGTGGTAGATTAAAAACAAGTCTCGGGCCGCATATGGCCCGCTGGCCTTGCTTTCGACAGCCCTGGTGTAGGGAATGGCTTTTTCTATGGTTGGGGTAAGTGATCTACATTGCAAAATTAGTAAAAAAATGTTAATATCAATATAAAATAACTCGAATTATTAATTATGTCCACGTAACAAATTGAGCGAAGTGAACCAATAAATTATCCAATTAAACAAATTTTCCAAGCTTGAATGGTATTACGATATATCCGGAGTAAACGTGTTAGTAACTTTGATCTAAGAAAAAATAAATAAATGAATTAACAACTAAAATTAAAAAATTAAATACAAAAACAGAAATTTAATAATAAAATAAAAAAACACTTATAAAGAATATATGCCACAGCTAATGAACGTTGCAAAAGCTGACAGCCTTGATTAAAGAAGGCAGCCCAAAACTTCATGCAACCAAGAAGTTGAGCTGAACTCCGTCACACGCCAAATAATTGCTTAAAACGCAAGCACACGCAATAAACGTACAAACGGATGAAGTTTGTTTGCGTCAATGCGGTGAATGTCATTCCGTTTTGGACTTGGATTATTTTATGATTGTGATAATCGCTTATATTTCATTGATCTAGAAGTTGAGTAGCTGTGATTCTGGTAAAAAGTTACAAGCTTTGTGGAAGCCAACGTTAGTTGCATTTAACTGAAGGCCAAAATCCAAGTAGCATTTTTGCTAAGATTTTGCTAAGATTTTTCTTTTATTTATATACTTCTAAATGTTTTGATAAATAATTTTTTATTTATTTCTAATCAAAATACGTAAACAAAATACGTTAAATAAAAATATTTTTATATTGCAAAATGAAGCTGAATTTTAAAATTAAATTTTTATTCATAAATTTATGATAATCTAAGCTGGGAATTTGCTTTAGGTTAACGAACTCTCAATACAAACTTAAAACGAATTGCATTATTTTATATGAAATACGTAGGTATTTTTAAATAATTTTATTTTTAATTTTAAATATTATTAATTAATGCCAGTTGCTTATATAATTTCTTCTGGAAGTATTTGCACGGCTCGCAATCAGTAATAAATGCTTTCACAATAGTGATGGATTTTTCTTGGTTGAGAGGTTTTACAATTCCTCATTTGATCTAAAACAATAATATCGGATTTATTCATATAATTTAAGCAGTCTTATTTATTTCATAAGCAATCGTTTTTGATTGATAGATATAAAATAGACAGTTTAGTTGGTTCATAGCTATCAGAGCTATGATTGTTGCATTAATTATAATTTCATTGTTTAAGTAACGCCCGTTCATAAATTTCATATATATGATTAACAAATATAGTTGAGTTAGAAATTAAAAACTTACAATCTAAAACGCCTTAATAAATTTCTCAATTAACACAATGTATAATAATTATAGTAAATTCCTCAATTACTAGTATAACAACACGTTGTGACTATCACTATGCAATGCTTAATTACTACAAAGTAATTAAGAATTAATTAAGAATTTCAGTATTAAAATTCTCAACTTTTTTCTTGTACAATCTACATATTTAAGCTTAATTTAAAGTCAAACCTGTTTTTATGCGGCTTTTTTTTTGTTCGATTTTTTGTGCTTTTTTTTTTTGTTAATTTTTTTGTGCGATTTTTTTGTGTGATTTTTATTTTTGTGCGTTTTTTTTTGTGCGGCATATGAAATTGGAGCATATTTAAAAATTTATCAGCTATATATGCGTTACGATGTATGTTATGATTCTTTAAGTCGGAATAATCTTGTGGAAATGTTTCAGAATGGAACCGTAAGAGATTACGACATTATAAATTACGTAATGAATATTACTAATGTGCAAAAAGAACCCGATACAATGACAGCACATATCATCTATGCAGAACTGTAACTTTGTCAAAAATTAAAATGTCGTCAATAATTCCAATCGATACTAATTCTATAAGAATTTAATAATTTCAAAAAGAGCTTCAATCTTGTTTATCTGTTTACAGAGACATATATAAGCGTCTAGTGAAACAACAATTGTCGCAAAAACTGATCACCTTAACTCAAAAGAAATCAAATTTAAAGAAGTGCAAGATAGTATCTATGAGTGACGATTTTAAATCAGTTTACCACAAGAAATTTCACGTATTATCAGACTGCAAGGAATAATATGTGAAAAGTTTTGTATGTTTAAAAATTACTCATATAAATAAAATATTTAAAAATGTACACATTTGTATATTCTAAATTAGAATAATCAGATTATCAATTATAAAACAATTTTTTTAATTGTTTTACGAAAACTGCTTTTTAAAACTACTCGGGAAGCATAATTTTTTTTTATGCGTATTTTTTTGTTTTAAAGACATACCCCAAAATTGATGTAAAATATATTTAATAAGTTTGTAGTAACCTAAAAACTATGGAAGTACAATAACCATAGAGACGAGTGGATATTTAATGAATTTCTCACAGGTTTCACACTTATAATACATAAAAGAATAATGTTTGGATCAAAACAGAACAAGTCGTATATATTGGGATTATATCAAAGTGATGAATAGCCATCGATTAATAACAAAATATTTAAATAAATAAATGTCATGCACAGCACTCTAATCAAATCAATAGACTTCACTGTGATTGATAATATTCTTTTATATTCTAGATAATATTATGTCGCTTGTTATAAGAATGTATAGATACAATATATAAGTAAGACCAGGGACCGAAAATAACAGTTATTTCAAAAATGTTTATGAAAAAAGCTGCAACAAAAAGTTGCAAATCATATAGTTATCATTCTAACAACTTTTATCCTTAATATTATGCATGCTTTTTATAATAGTTATAAGGTGATTTTTTTATGATAACTGTTAGGGTCCCTGAGTAGGACCGATAATATCTTGTTGGAATTAATTGAGTTCAGTGTTTAGTTTATATATCAGTACTTTATTATCTCGCTAACATATTTTATTTCAATCAGGGCACCGCTCTTCTATAAGTATCCTTTTAAGCTATATGTTATTACTTTATTGCAGTATAGAACACAAGGATAGGCTTGAAGAAGATCCAGACTGAGGTACGTTATACTGCAGTTCTTATTAAAGCAGACCTATGGAAACTGATGCATAGGTGCAACGAAAACATATTAACAAAATCCACATTTTTCTCATA